GTTCCTGTAGAGTTAGGTCAGGGTTAGTTCCTGTAGGTCAGGGTTAGTTCCTGTAGAGTTAGGTCAGGGTTAGTTCCTGTAGGTTTAGGTCAGGGTTAGTTCCTGTAGGTTTAGGTCAGGGTTAGTTCCTGTAGAGTTAGGTCAGGGTTAGTTCCTGTAGGTCAGGGTTAGTTCCTGTAGAGTTAGGTTAGGGTTAGTTCCTGTAGGTTTAGGTCAGGGTTAGTTCCTGTAGGTTTAGGTCAGGGTTAGTTCCTGTAGGTTTAGGTCAGGGTTAGTTCCTGTAGAGTTAGGTTAGGGTTAGTTCCTGTAGGTTTAGGTCAGTGTTAGTTTGGTTATGGTTTGGCGCCACCAGGTTGTCTTGAGTGTAGCGTCTCTTTTAGTTGTTGTGGTTTAATGTTTCATTAAATGCTGCTTGAACTGATGAAAGAAGTGAAGCAGCGTGGGAAAATCCTGAGAGCTGGCTGTAGAGAGGCTGCTGCACAAAGAGGCGGAGGAGGGAGGAGGTGGAGGGAGGATGGGAGCCCTCAGGGTCATGTGACCACTGTTATACACTCGATATGACTGAATCAGGAGGGGACTACAGAGTTTCCTGAACTGAAACACAGGAGAGTCAGATCACATCAGAACCAGTTCAGACCCACTGAGTTGGACCTCATGGACCAGAAGATGTTCATCAGCCCCCCACAGCCCCCCACAGGCAGGGAGGAGAGAGTTAAGTTTGGTAAGATGAATTATCCTTTGACCAAACTGGTGTTTGTGGGATTCCTGTTGGTTCTGATGAGTTCAATGTTTGGATCAGCGGTTCTGTTCTGGTTTGGACCAGTGTTTTTTACTAGTTGATTATTAGTCCAGTTCTGTGGAGTATAGATTCTGGTTCTCTGCTGTAATTGATCCCTATCTAGATTGGTTTTCAGTTTTAGAACCAGAACCAGTAGAAGAACTGGAAGGTTTTCAGCCAAACTTTACTGGTTCTGGAGGTTAAACCTGGTGTTCTGTCAAAGTGGATCAATAATTTGACTCGACTTGGACCTGCCTTTTGTGGTGTGATGGCACCATTTCATGTCATGATCTTTGTATTTTAGTTTTTGTTTTATGGTTTTTGTGATTTTTAGATATTCTCACTCTGTTATTGTTTTGATACACTCGTGTTTTATTTTCTTATTTCCTGTTTAGCTTCCCTGTGTTTCCTGTAGCATTCCTCAGTTCACTCTCAGTCAGCTTCCTCTTGGTTCTTAGAAAGCTATCCACACTCACCTGTCTCCAATTAGGACAGCTGTTCCCAATAGCTCATTAAGTCAGCCCTACACAACCAGTCTCTTGCCACCTCTGGTTTCACAGGTGTCCTGCTCCTCCTGTGCTTCCAAAGTTATCTGATGTTTAGCTGCCTGACCAGCTTTTGTTTTGTTTAGTAAAATATTTTATCTTTGCGTGTTCCCCGTGGTCTGCATCTGGGTCCAAACCCCACCACGACTGTGACATTTCAAAAGTCAGAGTTCTGTTAGATGTGTTGAAACAGCTGTTAGGTTTACTGATGAGTTCTGGGTCCAGCCTGACCCATTAGAGTGTCTAACTGCAGAAAGACAGAGACAGAGGGGCAAAGAGGTCATAGATTTAATTTTTTAATATTTTAAGTGTTCTTGTCACCTTGTCCTCTCTGTCTTCAGCGTATGCAGAGCTGCAGCAGCACCGCTCTGAAGGTGTCCACAGGAAGCCGTCTCCTGTGTCCAGCTATGTCCCCCCACCGGATTACTTGGATGAGGAAGAAGACTTGATTAAACCCAAGAAGCTTGTGAATCCTGTCAAAGCTTCCAGAAGTCACCAGGAACTTCACCAAGAGCTGCTGAGCAGGTAATGTGTCTCTGTCCTCATCAGGACAGCTCTGAGACACTGAGATATGACAGGACAGGACAGGACGGGATGTTTCAATGTAGATCATGTTTTTAGTTTAGTAAAATGTTCAAACAGTTTAAACAAAGTTTTTCATCAGAACATGTTCTGGTTTTAGGGTTCTGGGTTCTTCTATCATGGTCTCAGTGCAGAACCAAGGCGTTCAGAACCATGTTCTAAAAGCAGATCTGGACTCTGACTGGTGTTGACCATCAGAGAGCAGCCAGGGTTTCAACATTTTTCTGTTCAGTTCAGTTTGTTTGTTTGTGAGGAGATGAATGAACGTCGCTAAGCAACAACCTCAGAGGCCTCCAGCACCGCCGAGGATGCTGGGAAAGTTTTCACCTCCTCACAGTGGCTCATTCACAAACACACAAAGAGGACCAACGTCTTCCTCCCTGTTTGCTCCAAGAAGAAAACAAAAATCACAAAAAACATCCTAACTCACTTTAATCAGGTCAAACAAAGGTGTGTACCTGTGAGGTTAGAGTCAGGTATGTACCTGTGAGGTTAGAGTCAGGTGTGTACCTGTGAGGTTAGAGTCAGGTATGTACCTGTGAGGTTAGAGTCAGGTATGTACCTGTGAGGTTAGAGTCAGGTATGTACCTGTGAGGTTAGAGTCAGGTTTGTACCTGTGAGGTTAGAGTCAGGTATG